TCAAGGGAACTGATGACACACACTGAGTAGCTAGACTCTGAACCATAAAATAGATATTTGCTAGAAATTGTTCTAGGGCAAAGACAATCAGGGAGAGTCACTGCCCTTCATAAACAGCTCTTTGTGGAGGCTAACTGCCAAGAATGTCTTGTGATTTATAGACAGCTCTCAGCCATGTGGGAGCCTTTATTTCTCTTTCTATGGTCTGAATGTTCACTGATGATACCTATTTAGATAAATATCATTTCAGGCTTTGATCTCCTTTCAACATTTTCTAGACATATTCTTATTGTTAATTTCAGTTTGAGACTCAAAAATGTGTTACATAAAACCATAAGACAAATATATCTCATTGGTTAATTCTCTCATATTACTTCAAAAAAGCAAAAGGTTTTGAGCTGAATCCACATTATGTCAAGATAGCCTACATTTCTGTTAAAAAACAAAACATCTATGCAGAGCGATTTTTACACAAAGTAAGACTGTAAAGATTAACCAATAAACTTATATGCATAGTCAGGGAGTAGGGTGGAGGCTGTCAATGTGGGTGTTGGGGGGAAGACATCTGTAATACTTACAACAATAAAGATAAATTTTTTAAAGAAGATTGTAAAATATGGATGAGTGAATACACTTCCATTGCCTCCTGTTTTCCACTTAGTCACTAGGACTCTATGCCCCAGCCCTACTCTTGAGTGTGGCCCTCCCTCATGGGCCATCCCCCTGCCCAGTGTTTGGGCTGGTGAGAGAATTCTCTTAACACACACACACTGTGACACACACACACACACACACACACACTATGACACACACACACACACACACACACACACACACACACTGAGTGCCCCCAAGTACACCTGAAACCTGCACAGAAAAGGAGCAGACACTGCCATATCCTATTTCTGAGACAGTAACTGAGTGGGGAAAAGTAGAGGGGCCAGGGTGCCAGGTTGTAAGGGAGTGGACCCCTGAGAACCCATCCCCACCAGGGTCAAGTGGACCTCTCCTGAACCAAGGTCCCAAGCCCTGCTGCATGTCCAAGGGCCCATCAGACTTCACCTGCAAACACAGATTGTAAGATAAAATTCCTACAAATTTCAGAATGGCAACTACAGAGCAGTAACCCCGATGCATGGGTCCCCGAGCATGGCCCAGTGTGATTGCACTGGCCAACACCTGTGAGGCCAGCCTGCTCGCCCAGCCCAGCAGGGACAGCACTACTGCTGTTGAGTGTGGAAGGAGAAACAGTGTACTGGGTATCCTCTCCTTCTTCAGTTTGGGACTCCCTGCCTGCAGGAAGCAAGTATTTCTAGGGTGGTCCAGATACCAGTTTATAGGGGCAGCTCCTCATTGGGAAGGCCTGCCTAGGCAGCACTGCTCCCACTGTGCTTAATGCTGGGGTCAGTGCAAGGGAGCCCCTCATCCCCAAGATGAGCCACATCTCCCACTGTCGGCTTAACTAAGGGTAGTATTTTGGTATCTCATCGGTATTTTGTTTTAATTTCTCAATCAGATCAAGGACTGGACTCAGATGAAAAGGGCTACTGGTTGGGTCCCTAGAATCCCATTAAGAGCAGGTTTGGTTCTTATTGAGATGACCTGGCCTGGTGCGGAGGAAGAGACCTAAGGAGCTTCTCACCTTCTCCTTCTCCACCCTCTGCCCCACTCCATGTGCTCTTCTGCAGAGATATGTAATAATCGTACACAGGCCTTGGGACCAAGGTGCACATGCTCCCCAATTTTAAACTAAAAACGAAAAGAAATACTGAATGAATAATTTGTGAAGCATGTTTTCTTTTACTGTCTCTGAATAATGAATGAATAGCAGAATCAATAAAAGCTTAGATGCTATATTCAGATGTAATTATAGAAATTCATTTATAATCTGGTTTGTACCAGCCTGTCCATCTTATTATTATAGTTTATGTTCTGGCCACTCTGGAGGACCCACACCCACACCCACATCCACAAGGAGCTGCTTCTTACTTTCATATTTTACTCAGTGCCTTCATTACCTAGCTCATTTCTGTGACTCAGATTTTAGATCGCAAACCTTTCTTATAAGGAGCTTTTCTGATTCCCTCAGAATCTCCCTTCCCCATATTCAGTAGTTTGGGTGCTAGGGCCATGACTTAAATTATTATAATATACTAGAGGCCTGGTGCACAAAATTTATGCATGGGTAGGGTCCTTAGGCCTGGCCAGTGATGAGGGTTAATCAGGTTCTCTACCTCCATTCCTCCATGTCTCCTCCTTCCCTCATTCCCTCAGCACCCCACTGCCACTGCTGATCACCCACCATGTTCTGTGCCGCCCCCTGGTGGTCAGTGCACATCATAGTTAGTGATTGGACTCCTAGTTTCCTAGTTGAACCCCCAAGGGGAAACTTTGCATATTAGCCTTTTATATATATAGATTAGGACAGTCTGCTGACATTTCTATCTTTTTCTACTAGACAAAAGCTATATAAGAACCAGAAGAGTATCTTATTTACTTTCTAAAAACTATCCTCTGACACAGAGCTTGGAATGGAACAGCATTTCTATAAATAATTTTTAAAAATTAAACAGGACATTACAGCCTTATATATTTTCTAAGGGTCTCAGAATAAATCTGATATTTTTTAAATGTGTATCTATTTATTTAAAAATGCTTTTTATGGAAAAAGACTGACTGGACACTGTCAGCACCAAAACTACCTTTTAAACTATTATTTTTTGTCATCTATTATACCCCCAGTGGCCCTCACTAGATTTAGTGAGTTTATTTTGAAGGATCAACTATCTTACCAACTATATGTCCTTTTATATCTGAGTTACTTTGCTTATGAAATTAGAAATGATGACAACTGCTAAGCAGTATCAATAAAAGATTCTTGATTGAAAGTTTCATAACTGAATCCTGGCAAATAATGATTTCAAGCATATTTTTCTAAGATTCTGATGATCATGTGCATGATCAAGGAGAGGAAGAATGAGTTTTCAATTTAATAATTTGGTATTTCTAGCTCTCAAATCAACCTGGCTGAGTTAAATATTCTGGTCAATTTTAATCCATGCCTCTTGTTTCCAAATTATTCAGCAATGTCATGGAAAAAATATTTGCTTGATCCTATTAATAGATAGTATTCTGACAGGCTTAGAAAATGACATGATTTTTTATTTCAATCAACCACATTTAAATCATTATTATATTCCTTATCTGTCTACTCAGTGGTAATTTGTTTTACTGTTATCAATGTGAACTTTATATATTTTGACTTTTCCCTCAAAATTGCTGTTATCATCCAAATTTCATCTTATTTATTCCCCAAATAAAATATTATAGATAGAGATAGCATAATATTAAAGAAAAATGTCAAAGCAACATGCATAATTTAGAGAAATAGTGAAAGAAAGTTTGAGGCTACCACTGAAAGTTGGGATTTGCCTCACATCGAGGGCCATACCACATCCTTTGGTGTTAACACGTACCTTTCATTTATCCTTTTTCCCACTTTTCAACATTCATGCAGTTACAATGTTCACCTCTTTGCAGATAAATTCAGACTTGCAAAATTTGATTTCTCACTATTTTTATATTTCCTGTGTATATCTCAGTTTTGGATATTTCAAATTCCAGTGAACTAGAATAGACCAAAAATCAGGTTGACATATAAAATTTGAGGGCTAGCATTGTTTATTAAGTCAATAAATACACAGCACAATGTTTACACAAAATAAGATGATAAAAGATGGATTGAGTGAATGCACTTCTGTTGCCTCCTGTTTCCTACCCAGTCAGCAGGGAAGGGGCACCTTTAGTCTTCCTTCTACCCAGATGACACAGACTTTGCAGAATTCAAGGCTTAATCCACAATCACAATTGCAACCTCCCTCTGCCTTCTGTTGCTCATGGATCTGAGGTCCTACATCAGGTCTGAACCTAGCCCACCACATCCTGCAGAGAAACTGCGTCACACTCAGAATAGAAGCCATCGCCTCCTTAAAACCAGACTCTTTCCTCATAATGACCAGTGGATTATTGCCATGAAATTGTAGTTACAGTGACTTGGGTGTATTGCAGGTAACCTTCCTATTTATTATTCATCAAATCAGACTACTTCATGATAATCTATTCTACATAATAATTTTTGGCCATTTCCTCTATCATTTCAGCACATAACTACCCAACTAAGAATTGATTTGAAAACTATAATGTGGTCCTCCTATCATCTACCCTCCTCCTTTTCATTCATCTGTTCTTCCAACATCACTTTTATTTATTGCTCTTTGACTAGACTTTTGCAGCATGCTGTGGTTGCCTCTACAAGGCTCAGTTTGGCCCATCAGAGTCCACCATTAGTCTGCAACATTGACTGATACCAATGTCTCAATGACCTTGCATTGAAGATGTTGGCTGCCATGCTCCTGGGAGCTCAGCTTCCCACCAGATGCTTTCCTTCCACATGCCCAGCCAGGTGACTATGTGCATGATTTTCCATTAATGAGCCCCTTAATCTCTTTCGTACAATGGCTTTGCTTTTGTTTTACCTGCCTTTGTGGAGCACATGAAACAGGGAATACTGCTTAATTTTCTCACAATACCAAGTAGAGTTTCTTCACCCATTTGAGGCAATGTGCTCCAAATGTTTCAGGCAGGCTGATGTTTTCAACAGAATTCTTCCCCAGTGTGAAAGAAATGTAGAGCAGGGAATAATGTGAGGCAGGGAGCTAATTTCCTGTTTTTTTAACTGATGAAACACACCAGGTACCAAGGCAACCTGTGACCTTGAGTACTGTCTCCAAGCCCACTGAGGACTGAGACCACAGTGGGACAAGAAAAGAGCAGCAAGAACTTAAAATACTCCCAGTTCTGATGAGGACTGAGGACTGAAACTGAGCCTGCAGGGTCAGCTGGTACTCAGAGAGGCTTTTAAAAGTTCCATTCATACATTTGGTTACTGTACTTGTTGAGGATGCAGTAAATTAACATACTACAAATTAAGGCTATTTTAATGGTCATTACCAAGGCTTTTAGAATGCAGTTTCTCATTTGCCATGGACATGACCACAAAACATTTCCCCAATAGATTTGTCCCCCCCCCCCCCCGCTATGTTAATAGCATAGAATTCAGCCTACTGGGAATAAATATATATATATATATATATATATATATAGCTATTTTAACTTTTAAAATGTGCTTGGCATTTTTGTATATGAACATTTCAAGAGTTGTTCCCATTCATTAATATTGATAATCAATAAGAGATGTCTTTCTTAGGCACACTGAAATATTTTATAGAGGAAGAATCTACACATTAGACTGAGATTATAAATCTCAACAGAGAAGATTGAACAGGTAAGTATTCTGATTTGTTTCACATCTCGAGCTCTTTGGAAACAGGCTATCAAAAGTATTGTCCTTAAATCAGTTATTTGGATTTTTTTTAATGAGATTTGGGTTAGGAATAAGGGGAATGCTAACCTATCCCTTCCTGAAATGTTACATTTTCCTTTCTCTTTATTGTTCCTCCTGCATAACCTCACCAACATCCATGTCTGCTTTGTAACATTAACAGACAGGTGATCTTCAGACACTGAGCAGCTAGGGATATTTCTGCACCCCGTGGTGACAGATTAGGGTCCCGGGCTGACTTTCCTTCTGCAAATAGCAAACAGTATTGGATAAAACATGAGACTAGGGGAGGGAAAGAAGAAAGAAAAAAACACAAAACACACAAAACAGCAGATAATGGAAAAGAGAAAGAGAAAATGTGAAATGGAAAGAGAACTGGCAAATACTTTGAGGCAAATACACTTTTCAATAATTAAATAATTAATGATTCTCCCCCCAAAAAGACCACAAAGGGAAAAAACATCCATTTGGCAAGTCAACAGGAGCTTGGCAGTCCAGACCTTTGTTTTTTCAATTTTCACATAAGTCTGAAAAAGATTAATTAGGGAAGTACTAGGACTCCTTTCTAAAAACATACTTATTTAATTTATTATTGTGGAACATTTCAAAGATACACAAGTGTATGAAGTTGGAAAACCTTGTATCACTTAACTTCCTGGACCTGTCCTGTAATTTCAAGATCAGGCATTGAAATTTTGCTTCACCTGTAGCCCATTCTTTCCCCACCTCCTGGATTGTTTTGAAGCAGATTCCAGGCATAGAGCAACTGCAACCAGTGCTTACCTGTAAAGATAAGAGGTTTACAAAGTATAACTCTAATACCACTATCACATCTTGAAATATAATAACTTCTAATATCTAATATCCTGTTGGTGATCAAACTTCCTCAATTGTCTCAAAAGTTTTCCAATATTCAATTTTCACATGCTAATGCTGAGCTCAGTTTTATTCATTGGTTGTGATATAAAAAATATTCCTTTTGTTTCCACATCTCTTTAGAATATCTTCACTGAGTTGCCCACCAATCTTCCAAGTACTTTACTGCTTAAAAATCTTCACACTGTGGTTCACGACAAAACTCCCAGGAGACAGTTTGGCCAATATGTAACAGAGACTGACCACATCCCCACAGATAAATTTTGAGAAGAAGGGTCTTTTATTGCCAGGAGACCATTCTAACTCAGCCTCACATACTGTTTACAAATCAATGAGTGCAGTTGTGCATAAGCTTCCTCCCAGTTCTCCGCCTTGTGCTTGCCAATTATATTATGAAGACATAAAGTCCTCTGGAAAGTAAACATCGTAACCTATTTATAGGCTGTTTGGCAGCATCTACATGTATTGTTCAACTTACTACACATGCAAATATCTATATTAAAGCAGACTGTTTATGGCGCTTTTATACCAACAGTCTATGGCCATTCTGAGTGGGGTGAGAACCATGCAAAATTCTTCTGCCTGAACTTGGATCACAGGATATGATTCAACAGGAACAAGGAAATAATAATTATTTAGATGAACTCTTACAAAAAAAAATTCAGAAATGGCTTTCTCATTTTCCTTGTTTTAATGATTAATCCTAAAATCCTAAAATCCTAAAATTGTATTATTTACTAAAAGTTCCCAAAATACTATAGTAATAATAGTCTATTAAATTTTGAAATTCAAGTAAGTTTGTAGTTGGTTGTGCTTCATAAACCATGGTCTTAAGGGGCTGTAGTAGTTGGCTAAATACTTCTAAAATCCAGACAAATAAGACAATTGACAAATATAAATTTAGAAAAGTTTCTGCAGTCATTTATGAGGAAGATAAATGGAGAAAATTTTGAGGGAGCAGACAAATGCCATTACCCTTAACTTTATGTGGGATTTAAATATATATATATATATATATATATATATATATATATATATATATATATATATATATTATTGATTTTTTACAGAGAGGAAGGGAGAGAGATAGAGAGCTAGAAACATGGATGAGAGAGAGACATTGACCAGCTGCCAATGTACATGCCCTTGACCGGAATCGAACCTGGAACCCTTCAGTCTGCAGGCCAATGCTCTATCCACTGAGCCAAACCGGTTTCGGCTCTATGTGGGATTTGCCTACAAAACAGCCACTTCTCAAATGGAGTCAGTTATAAAAACTGGTGGGACAAATTGCTTGTCTGTGTAATGTACTGTGTCACTATACTGAGTGACATGCATCCATCCCCACCTCAGGAGCTCTCAAGTATAAGCTATTTGGTGGGCTTGCTGCCCATTTAAAAGCTATGAGCAGTGCATAGTCATTTGGGCAACAAGAAATAATTTTAAATGGTTATAGAAATGAAATATTAATATGAAACACAGTCACAGAAGATGGAGTTGATTCTAGAGATCATTAAGAGCAAGCAATTAAATTTACATTTCTTGTAGGTGCTTCAAAATCCATGACTTACTTATACAAACTTTCAATTATAATGGGATACAGTTCTACCCTTCTATTGATTCAGCTTCTTGAAAATGGAGACCTGAATACATAAATGAGTAAATGTTATAAAATGTACAAAATTCATAAACTGGTCAGATATTTTCAGATATGAAATTATTTAAATTAGTTGTTACTAAAATATTATTTTAAATAATCTTTCAAAGTGAATGAATCTTTTTTTCCCCTTGAGAAATCACATAAAAGATAGTTGTGGTAATATTTGAAAAGAAAATGAATTCTATCACACTGAAAGTCAGATTTTTTTTAAATTGAATTGTTATAGAGAAAAGATTGAAGTTTTACTATTTTATATTATATTTATTTTTATTTAGAGAGGAAGGGAGAGATAGAAACATCAATGATGAGAGAGAATTATAGATCAGTTGCCTCCTGCACATCCCCCACTGGGGATTGACCTTGCACTCTGGGCATGTGCCCTAGACTGGGAATTGAACTGTGACCTCCTGGTTCATAAGTCCATGCTCAACCACTGAGCTACACCTACTAGGCTATGTTATTCTATATAATAAAAGCCCAGCAACTGAAACAGCAGAACTGCCAGAACAACCAGAGACCAGAACAATAGGGGCCTTTCACTCTGGCTGGTTGTGCCTCCTGCATTGGGAACCCCTCACCCTGATTGGGGGCGTGGCCAGCCAGCAAACCAGCTGTGACTCCTCACCCCAGCCAGCCATGCCCCATGTCCCCAGTGCGTACCCCTACCCCAATCTGGGGCTCCTATCAGAGAAGGCCAGCTGGCCCCCACCCATGCACTGGGCCTCTATCCAATATAATAAAATGATAATATGCAAATTGACCCTAATAGCAGAATGACCAGAACAACCACTCGACCAGTCACTATGGATCACACTGATCACCTTTTGCTTCCTTTCCCCCATCTGCAGGCTCTGATCACCCAATGATGAATGGGGATCCAGGGGTGGGTGGCAGTGGGGGGCAGGGCCAGCTTTGGGCAGCTGACAAATATGGCTCTGATCACAGGCCAGGTCTAGGGACCATTTTATGCATGATTTTCATGCACTGAGCCTCTAGTTTTTAATATACTTTTAAGGTTATAGTCAGTAAATTTCACTCTTCTTTTGCCTACAGTTTCATGATTTTTGCTAAATGTATAAAGTTGTGTAATAATCACCATAATGAAAATGTAGAAGAGTTCCTCTCTCCCAGACAAACTGCCTAACGGTAGCATTTAAGGGTAAACCTTCTACCCATTTGTCTCTCTAGTTTTTTCATTTCTAGAATGACATAGATTAAGGTTAAATGAGGTCATGAGAATGGGTCCTAGTCCAATAGGATTATTGTTCTTATGAAAAGAAAAACCAGATGGTGAGTTTCCTCTCTCTCGTGTGCACACAAAGAACAGTCATGTGAGCACAAAATGAGATGGAGGTCCCTGCAAGGCAGAAAGTCATCTCACCAGAGACAGAATTTGCTGGCACCTTAGTCTTGGGCTTCAAGTCTCCAGAACTGTGAGAAAATAAATGCCTCATGCTTAATCCCCCAGATTGTGGTGTTCTGTTATGGCAGCTTGAGCAGAGCAGTACCTTCACTTTATTGTTTTTCTCATCTAAATACTTTTTAAATATTTAATTTTAATGTATCTATATATTTTTTAAATAACTAGAATCTCTTTTCAATATTTTTAAGTGGTTAGTCAATGCACTAAAATATCACATTTTAAAATATGCCTTATATTACAATTTTCTTCAAATTGAAAAATCTTGTATTTTCCCAAAATTTTACCAATAATGCAAATATGCCTCATTTATGGCAATTAGCACATCCTATTTTTTTAGTCTAATTATGTCCATTTACATATTTTATTTACTTTAATAAGCTCTAAGCTCTCTTAATATAGACAGCTGTGTGTTTATTTTACTGCAGTTGTAGTTAGGATCTTTCTTATACCTAACTGACAATCAATAGATATTCTGTAGTTAAATAATTACAAAAAAGGGAGCTATTCAATGACAAATTTATTCTGATATTATAAAAATTCTTTCCTTATCTCACTCATGTTCAAAATATTATCATATAACATATTCTTATTGGAAAGTGTTTTCCTCATTAGGGTAATATGAGTAATTATCCAATTTAAAGTCACAGTTAAAAAGGCAGAAATTGGATATATGTGGCCTATTTCATAGATAAAACTCTTGTCATCTTCTGCACTCTTTTAATTCTCTAACAAAAAATACTATTAGATAACAAAGTGAAAAATATTATATTGTCCA